GTGAAGGAAGAACAGCGTCCTCGCCGAACCGGCCCGCGCGGGGCCCTGACCTCGGATGTGCCGCCTCCAGAACCGAGAGAGAATAACTCTGCCGGCAGAGCCCCTGGCGGCGGCATCATCTCTCGCTGCCCGCCCGGCCACACACATCCTAGGTGCCCAGGACGTGCCTCCTCCTCCTGAGGACGGCCCCTGTCCTGTGCTCACAGGTCGCTGCACAGCAAACAGTAATGTAAAAAGCATCAGGTCTGCCGAAACCAGTTTGGCTCAGTGGATAGAGCATCAATGGGCCCTGATTGGTGTGGCTCAGTGGATAGGGCGTCGGCGTGTGGACTGAAGGGTCCCAGGTTCGATTCCAGTCAAGGGCATGGACCTTGGTTGTGGGCACATCCCCAGTAGGGGGTGTGCAAGAGGCAGCTGATCGATGGTTCTCTCTCATCGATGTTTCTAGCTCTCTCTCCCTCGCTCTTCCTCTTTGTAAAAAATTAATAAAATATATTTTAAAAAATAAAAAAGTAGTGCCAAGTCGTTCTGCTGACATTGCATGCGGAGGGGCCCTTGGCTCAGAGTGATGACAGGATTAAGGGGGCGCAGGGAACCACGCACACGCCCTTGGGGAAGCAGGGTGTTGGGAGGTGCTTGTGGGCCCGGGTGGGAAGGACAGGCCCACTCAGACCCTCCCTCAGCCCCCTGCAGTCCCCCCCCCTTCCTGCAGGTGAAGCTGGGCTTGAAGTCGCCTCTCGGCTGAGAGGAGAGCTGGATGGAGGACAACAGATGGGGCCGCACAGCCCGGCCGCCGCTCAGTCCGAGGGGAACAGGTGGAACTGGGCCCGGAGCGTGAATGCTGGCGATTCACGGGCGAGCAGCGGGCGGAGTGCCCGGCTCAGGCCGGCGACAGCTGGCAGCACGTGGACGGGTGGGGCGGGGTGGGTTCCGCCTCAGGGAGAAGGCACCAGAGGGCAGGGGACCAGGGAGGGCATGGGGGAACTCCTCCTGTCCCCCCCACCCCGGTCCCCAGGTTGGGGCAGCTGACCTACAAGATATAAGGAGACTGGGGAGATGCTCCTTGGACCCCCCCATCTCCCCAACCCCCGCTGTCCTAGGCCTAACCCTAAACCCCAGGCATCCAGGCCATTCCAACAGCTGTGCAGGCTTTTGGCTGGGCCAGGGCCCAGGCAGGGGACAAAGGCAGCTGCCGCCCTCCCCTTGCAGACAGGGGTAGGAGCACAGGGAGGTGAGAAGTGGCAGTACCGCCTCCCTTTTCTGTCCAGTTTTCCTGTGCCCTGAGCCCTCCCAGCTCTTCTCCAAGGGAAGGGACAGCAGAAAAGCAATGTCTGCTGAACACAGTGCTTCAGAGCCCAGCACTATGTCCTCCCATCAGCCCTTTAGAAGTGTCACGCCCCCATTTCACAGGCGAGAAAACCGAGGTGCCCTACCAGACTCTCGAGAAGGGACAGAGGAGCCCACATTCACAGCCTCTGCGGAGGACTGAATTAGCGAAACGCCCAGCAGTGCCCCGGCTGGTTCTGGGCCCGGCTTTCTGAGTCGGAGCAGAGGGCAGTCAGGTCAGTGGAAGCTGAACACCCTTTTCTCTGGAGATTTCTCCGAGGAGAGCCATCTCAGCCCTGGGCCTGGCTTCGGAGACTGGGCCTTGGCTTGGGGGGCAGGACATCTCCCCATTCTTCGGCGGAGAGATCTGCTGGGCATTCCTAGGGGGTCTTCAGCTCCAGACCCTCCGAGGTGGGGCGCAGTGGCTCTCTGCCTAAAGCTGTACAGGGACTTGGTTCCTCCCACCAGCACCCAGCGGGCAGGGAGCAGCCTCCTCGCCCCACGTCTGTCTGGGCTTCCCTCTGGCCAGCAGGGGGACCCCAAGCCCCAGGCACCGCCCGCACTGGCTGCTGCTCCTGGCTCTGGATGCATCCCAACGCTCAGCACACCCACATCCCGCCCGGAGTCTCAATTTCCTGCTCTGCGAAATGGGTACAAAACTGCACTTCAGCAGCCACAACGTGAGGGTGCAGAGCTCTGAACAGCAGAGCGTGGATAGACTTCATTCTTCCATGGTTGCCGTCCTGCTCGGCCTCACGGCTCCACGTATGAGAAACGTCAGAACAGGCAAATCCTTCGAGACTGAACGCGGCTCCGTGGTTTCCAGCGTCTGAGAGGGAACGGGCAGGGTGGGAAAGAAGCGGTAACAGCTGGAAGGTTCGGGGAGATGAAAATGCCCTAAATTGGGGTGATAGCTGCACAATTCTGTAACTGAACTAAAAGCCATCGAGTCGCACCCTTTAAATGGGTGAACTTTATGCCATAGAAGCTGTAGCCCAGGAAAACCTGGCTGTGTGCTCTGAATCGAATCTGGGTGGCCCCCCACACGTCTCCAGGCCTCCTCTCCCCTCAGCACGTGCAGAAGCTGGGAGCACATTTCTTTTTACTGAGGAGCAGGAGGAGCTGGATGGATAGGAAGGAGGAAGGGGAGTGGATGTGCAGGAAGCAGGAAGGAGGAAGGAGGAAGGGGCACGAGGAAGGCCTTGATTGCCCCTCTGCCCTGTGCCCTTGGTGTCGGAGGGTCTGTCAAGGAGGGTGAGGACGAACTGGGCCGTGCCAGGGCCTGAGCTCTGCTAAGTCCATGCCATGATGAGCGGCCAGGCCTCCAGGTGGTGTGGTGGCAGGTGGATCCGCCAGAGGCTGCCTCCAGGGTCAGAGAAGCCCAGGTCCACGGCTGGTGCCCCAGGTGAGGCCGGGGGGGGGGGGGGGGCGCCAGGAGAAGCCATCTTTTTTTTTTTTAAAGTATTTTATTTTATTTTTATTTTTTAATCCTCACCCAAGACTATTATTCCACTGATTTTTAGAGAGAGTGGAAGAGAGAGGGAAAGACGAGAGAAACGTGGATGTGAGAGACATACATGGGTGGGTTGCTTCCTGCAGGCGTCCCGTCCAGGGCCTGGGCCAGGGAGGAGCCTGCAACAGAGGTACGTGCCCCTGACAGGAATCGAACCCAGGACCCTTTGGTCTGCAGGCCAACGCTCTATCCACTGAGCAACACCGCTAGGGCAAGGCTGAGTCTTTAACTGTGGCAGGTGCCTGGGGCCTGGGGCAGGCTGTGCCAGGTGAGAGCCTGCGGTGGGGGAGGCAGCAAAAGCTCTCGCTGCCAAAGGGGAGTGATGAGCCCCTGGGAGTGCTCGGTGCATCTGTGTAGCCTGGGGAGGAATTACACTTCCCAGATTCCCCAATGAGGCTCCAGGGAAGTCCACAGACTACGGTGTCTGAGGCAGAACTGGAAGATGCCCCCACCCCCAGCGCCCCCAAGGCTTCAGGGGGGATCTCTGTCCTGCATGGGGGTCAGCACTGGGCTGGGGGTCGGAGTCCTAGTGGACAGCGTGGGCCATCTGACCTGAACCTGAGCAGGAGGCAGCCAGAGGGGACCCAGGTGGGGAAGGCGGAGCTTGCTTCCGGGGCTGGGCTCCCACCCATTGGGCTGTGCTGAGCGGGAGAGGGGGCAGGAGGGGCAGGAGGGGGGGATGATGGAGGTGGCCTGGGAGCAGGTGGCTCCCTGAGCCTGGACACCCCGTGGTCTGTAAAGGGAATTTGCTGAGAGACGGAGAAAGGGTGTAAGGGCTCAGGAGGAAGTGCAGAGGGAGGATGGGGGGCGGGGGGATGGGAACGGAGGCTGGCTGGGGAGCAGGTCTCAGAGCTGAGGACCGGGAGGGGCAGCCGGTGAGGTGGATGTGGGTGTAGAGCCACTGGTGTAGGGGCGCCTCCCAGCATCCGGCATCCTGGGGAGCTGACGATGGAGGCTGGATTCACACGGGGGCGGGGAGGGCGGGGTCGGCGTAGGGACAACTCACGTTTTCCCGGCGTTTCTCACCCAGAATCACTTCCTTTGTGGAGTGGAGGGGGTGAGGGAGGAGGGGGAGGAGAGTGAGGAGGGAGGGGCCCCGAGGTGCCGCCGCCCCCGCCCCTCCAGTCTGGTCTGCGGAGTCCTCCTGTCACTCAGCCCCGTTCCTCCGGCGCCTGAGCCAAGTCTGCACCACTGCACCCCAACCTGGGCTGGACCTGGGCTGGAGCTGGACCTGGGCTGGACCTGGGCTGGAGCTGGACCTGGGCTGGACCTGGGCTGGAGCTGGACTTGGGCTGTACCTGGAGGGCTGGCCGGGGTTCGGGCACTCGCGCTGGCAGAGGCTGAGAGCCTGGCTGGGGGTCTCGGACGGCTCAGGTGGCTGCGGGCTGCCGGCTTCGGGGACCAGGGCAGGTCTGTGCTGCCTCCATCGGGCTCGGCGGGTGCGGGAGAGGGAGAGGGTGAAGCGGGCGACCAGGGAGCCCCCTTCCTGGCCGTGGGCGGGTGCGGTCTGCAGAGCTGGAGCGGGGCCAGGGCGCCGCTGGGAGCTGGTGCCCACCTTCCGGTGCGGGCGGGCGGGCGCTCGCCGGGAAAGGGACCCCCGCCCCGCCAGGACAGATTCAGACCCCAGGCCCCGTTGTCCCAGGTAAGGGCAGGGCGCTGCCTCTTTAAAAGTGGCCGGGCAGAGCCTCCGCACCATGTGATGCTGGCGAGGCTGGGCCGGCGGCGCTCGCTGCAGCGGAGGGAGCGAGGACATGAGCGGCCGGCGTGGTGCCCGGAGCCCAGCCCAGCCCCGCGCTCCCGGCAGGTGCCCCCGACTTCGGCCACCACCTCTGGGCCCCCCTGGCGGCCGGCAGGCAGGCTGGTGAGCTCCTGGCACCCTGGTCTGGGGCATCGGTGGGCAAAGCCGGGCGTGGGGACCTGGTGGGGCGTGTGCAGCGGGCGGGAGGGGTGAATGAGACCTCGGGGTGGTCTGGGGAGGCACAAGGCTAGGCAGAGAGAGGGCCAGGGGTCTCACCGGCCCCGGCGGGCATCCAGTGGGCACAGCTCCAAGGGGAGGGACTCCCGGGACCCCGTCCCCTGGGTCCCCCGCCGCCCACAGCCTCCCCACCCCGGCCTCCCGACCGCAGGTGCCCCCCGCCGATGTGCCCGGCCGCCGCCCACCATGCCGTCCGTCTCGGCCTTCCAGGCCGCCTACATCGGCATCGAGGTGCTCATCGCCCTGGTGTCCGTGCCGGGGAACGTGCTGGTGATCTGGGCCGTGCGGGTGAACCAGGCGCTGCGGGATGCCACCTTCTACTTCATCGCCTCGCTGGCGGTGGCTGACGTGGCCGTGGGCGCGCTGGTCATCCCGCTGGCCATCCTCATCAACATCGGGCCACAGACCTCCTTCTACACCTGCCTCATGGTCGCCTGCCCCGTGCTCATCCTCACGCAGAGCTCCATCCTGGCCCTGCTGGCCATCGCCGTGGACCGCTACCTGCGCGTCAAGATCCCGCTGCGGTGAGTCCCGGCAAGGAGGGCCGGCCACGCCCGTGCTGGGCGGCGTGAGGGCCGTCCGGAGAGGACAGACGGGGACACAGAGTCCTCGGGGACAGGCGTCCGGTCCCCAGGCGCCTCTGCCCTCCGCTCGGGGTGCTGGGCCGAGCTGTGGTGGAAGCAGGAGGATCTGGTGGCTGGAGGACAGGGCCGGGCAGTGCCTGGGAGCCCCCTGCCAAACTGCTGCTGTTCTCAGGGCCCGGCCAGCTGCCCAGGCTTTGGAGGGGCCACCAGGACAGTCTAGGTGAGCGCTGGGTGGACGAGCTAAGCCCACTGGTCCCAGGGTGCATAAGAGGAACAGGGTGCTGGGGTGGGTATCCGCCAGGAGCCGGGCAGGGCAGCCTTCCCGGAGGCACTCCTCTCTGTGCCCGCCGGCTCCACCCTCTGGTGCCCTGGGAGCCGAGCAGTCAGAGTCCCTCTGCCCAGAGATCTCGGCTGCCGGCAGGAGGAGGGAGAAACAGGCTCTTTCTCTGGACATCCCTGTTTCGTCACAAACTCAGCAGGTCTCTGTGGTCACCGCAGAGGGGCCACGGGTCCGGTCCAGCAGCCCCGGGGTGGGTGGCCTGCTGGTGGCCGTGCTCACGGGGGTGCTGAGTCCGATGGGGCTCCGTGCCCAGGACTTCCAGGCCCCGGTCCTATCACCGGGCAATGCCTGGGCCGCTCAGTGCCAGGGGAGCGCGGGCACTCTGCCAGCCGGGCTGTGGGGACGCCCCGGGCCCCTCTCAGTCCCGTGGGTCAGCGCCCGGGAGCTCTGGCCGCCGCTGGCACCTGCTTCCCATCTGGGGCCTCTGGCCTCACTTGGCCGTCTGCCCAGGCCGCCCGGCCGCCCACGTACCGCCCGCTTGCGTTACAGTCGTGGGACTTTTCAGAGCTTTTTTCATGCGGCATCTCCCCGTTCTCACCATGATCCTATCGGGAAGCACCAGGGGAGCTGGTAAAGGGAAAACCGACCCCCAGGGAGTCCTGCTGCCTTGGGGAGTGAGCCTGGGTCCCCTGACCCCTGACTCCTCGGTCCCTCACACCCAGCACCGAAATGTAGCTCTCTGCCTGCCTCCCCAGCCTCCAGCTTCCCGGGAAGTGGGGCAGGGACCGCTGCTCAGGGGAGAGGCAGGCGCGTGGGCACTGAAGGGCTTTGAGCTCTGTGGTCCCTGGAGACACTCATCTCTGTGCCCGCCGGCTCCCCCGGTGGCAGAGGGCTGGGCAGGGAGGCTGGCCCTGCCCTCAGGGTGTTGGGACCTCTGAGCCGAGCACACAGTGTCCCTGCGTCAGGGAAGCGGCTGGGAAACCGTCTGGAGTGGGTGTGAGGCAGATCAAAGGCTGGTCCGGGTGTCACAGACGTGACAGCGGAATGTGCCCCACTGGCCCGGGGGTGGCGGTGGCTGCAGCCTGCCCCTCCCTCAGGGCGGCTTCTGTGCTCTGGCCTGAGGAGTGAGGAGAAGAGAGGAGTGAGGAGGAGGAGGAGAGAGGAGAGAGGAGGAAGGAGGAGTGAGGAGGAGAGAGGAGTGAGGAGGAGTGAAGAGGGGGAGGAGCGGGCCCTGAGGGGCTGTGTTCTTGGCCCGAGGCTGCTCCCAGTGGCGTGAAGGCTGCTCCCCGGAGGAGGCTAAGCATGTGGACCTGCGTGCAGCCCTTCTGGGCGTCGCTAGCTCTGACCCCAGACAGGACTCACTGCTGCCGCTGAGCCTCGGTTTCCTCGTCTGTAAAAGGGGCCAGGCAGTGGCGGGAAGGACGGGAAGCTCGCAGCGCTGGGCCTGGCTGTGATGTGCCTGCCCCACGGCGTCTGTGTGTGTGTCTGTCACTGCGTCACTGCTACCCTGGGCTCTGAGGGGCTGAGTGGGAAGCTGCCCCCAACTCGTACTGTTACACAGTAGCTCTCCCCTCCCCCCGTTTTCAGGGGGTGCCACAGGGGTGCCACGGTGCCGTGAGGTCACGTCCGCACTTGCCTTTTCTCCTTGGTGGGTCGTCCGTGTCCGGGGCAGTGCCGGAGGCTGCACGGCTCCCGTCTGTCTCCGCAGGAAGCCGGGCTCGGGGTCTGCACAGGACGGACCCTCAGGAGGCTGTGCTGCTAACTAGCTGTGCTCCCTGGACACGGGGTTCAGCCTCTCTGGGTCTTTCCCCGCGCCCGTCAGACAGACAGAGGGCTGGACGCGGGATCTCAGGGGTCCTTCCAGCTCTCGCTCCTGCCTGTGCTGTGTGTTGAGATCCTGGGACAGCTCTGCGTGTTAAGAACTAGCTCGATGCTGGATTTCTATCTGCTTCATCTCACGTAATGCTCATGGCCTCTCGGTAGTAGGCGTTTCTGTAAATTCCTGTTCTACAGACACTTTTTTTTTTAAAGATAAATTGAGGTCTGAGGCTCAGGGAGGTTCGGAAATTTGTGCAAACGTCTGGTCAGGGAGAGACAGGGTCCACCAGCCGTCTGCAGCCAGCGAGGCCCTCGGTGTCGTGAATCAGCTGAGACTTTCCTCACGGCCGGCAGCAGGGTGTCCCTGCCCCCGCTCAGCCCTGCGCTCCCTCCTTCCTCCCTCCTCACCTTCACTCCAGTGGGCAGGGGCGCCCCTCGGCCTTGCCTCTGTCCACAGCTGGAAGCCTGCCGGCCGGGCTGCTGACCGGGAAGCAGAGCCAGGCGTGGGGGAAGCCGGCCCTTGGGACCGGCTCAGCTCGGGCGGGAAAGGAATCTGGTGGATTAGGGTGTGTCCACTCTCAGCCATCAGCGCGGCCTCCTCCCCGGCCAGCCGGGGCTTCTGACGGCAAAGTGCTCCTGGGCTGGGGCCCCCGGGCTGCGGGCTGCAGCCTTGCATCCCAGAGCCATCGCCCTGTCGTCTGGGCACCTGCTCTCTGCCTCTGAGTGAGGACGATGAGTCAGAGTGTCAGAGCGGGAGACGCAAGAGGAGCCGTAGGGAGCCCGGATGTCCAGCCTCTCGCCAGCGAGGAGGAAGCGGAGGCCGAGGGCGCTGGGTGTTCAAGGTCACTCCTCCAGCTGTCCAAGGTCACTGCCCTCCCCCGTGCTGACGTGCTCCCAGCCTCTGGCCCGAGAGGCCTGGCAGGAAGCTCTCAGCAACGACCCTCAGCGACGCACAGCGCCGAGAGGTGCCCCTCAGTGGTGGGTGGAGGGAGAGGGACGGGAGGATGCTGATTGTGATTAAAAGTCCGCCCGGCATGGCTCAGCGGAGGAGCATCAGCCTGTGAACCAGGAGGTCGTGGTCTGGTTCCGGGTCAGGTGCATGCTTCCAGGGCAGGTGGCAGAGTGCGGGTGCCGGGGCTGGGAGGTGAGGGGGAAGCGAGTCGTGACGGAGAGGGAGGATGCAGGAGGCCGATGGAGAGTCACGGTGTGAAATGATTCCCTCGGAAGTGGACAGTGACTGAGTCAGGAGGCTGTGGAATCAGGGGCGGCAGAACCGGCCCCTGAACCGTCCCTGGAGACGCCCCCGGCACGGCCCAGGCCCTGAGCCTCGTCCTGTCACGGATCCGAGGTGATGGGTCCCGTGTCGGGTGTGAGGTCCCTGCCTTCGTGGGACCTGGAGCCCAAGGGCAGGAGCTGCAGGGACAACCGAGAAGAGCTGCAGGGAGGGCCGCCTGCTCTCTCTGTGGCTTCTCCAGATTCCCGGGGGCCGAGGACCGAGCAGGGGGGTGGGGTGGGGCTGAGGCTCAGGGTCAGGAGTTCACATTCTCCTCTAAGTGCACTGACAAGCCTCCAAAGTGCTTTAAGCAGGAAATGCCGGAAAACCAATTTCAAATTGAAAAGGTCAAAGTCCCGAATAAACTATTAGCGAGAGAGAGCCGGTGATGCAGGAAACGCAGCGAGTGTCCCCACCAAACGGGCTGTTGGGCGGGTGCAGGGGGGACGCTGCGGGCGGTGGAGGCCAGGGAGGTGGGAGGACACAGCCTGTGAGCCGCTGGCCCTGGAGCGGCCGTGCCCCGTGGGAGAAGGGATCTCGGGGGTGGGGGTGCCATGGTGCTGTGACCTCTGGAAGGAACAGGTGAGGGAGGAGCTAGGGGAGACCGCATCCTCCAGACTCCAGCGCAGCTTCGGGAGGTCCTCGGGGGTCCCCTCTCGCTCACCCCTGCTGCCCCTTCCCGTGGTCCGGCAGGCGGGCCCGCTTCCAGCTCCAGGAAGGGGCCTCTCGGAGGCCCACCGGATCCGGACGGAGCCCCCGCTGCTCCGGCTGCTGTCACTCCCAGGAGGCCGAGCCAGGGCTTCCCCCTCACGGGCTCCGTTTAGGAGACACGGCCCGGTCCTCACCGCGGTCAGGAGGCTTTCCGCTTTCCGCTGAGATGGGAAGGGCCTGGCAGGCCGGGCGCTCAGTGATGGGGCTGAGGCTGAGCTGGGGGCGGGGGGGGGGGGATGTCCCGAGTGTGTGGGGACTCAGCAGGCACCGCACGGGCCTGTCCTCTGCAGAGTAAACACCCCCCTCCTCCGTGCCCCCAACCTCGGTCTCCCATGGCCCCGTGATGACAGCGGCCGGAGGAACACAGACGCCTTTCAGAGCTGCTGGCAGGCCCAGGCCTGGGGCTGAGAGTGGACTGAGCCGGGGAGGCCTCACTGCCAGAGGTCACGGCGGCTTCAGGCGATTAGAGGGAGAGGGGAGGTGTGCTCACACGTTCACACCCGAGTGTGCGGCGGGGTTCTATCTGTGCTCTTATTTTTAGAAATTAAAAAAAAGCCATGTCCCACACAGCCCCTCCTCCTCCCAGCCCTTCCTCCCTCCCAGCTCCGCTCCTTCCGGCCTGCGGCCCTCCCCCACCATCAATCTTCCTGAGGCAGGAGCATGGTTTGCATGTGCAAGTCAGCAAGTGTCTTCTGGTGACACCAGCCCTGTCCTCAGGCCTCAGGGCACAGGCCCCCAGGCTGATCCTTCACCAGCTGCCCCGCCCCAGACACACAACGCCCACAACACCTACCTGTGCTCAAACACTTCCTGCCTCCCTCCCCGTCCCCCCTTCCCCGCCGCCCCTGGTCTCCCGCC